CACACACAGACAGAGACTTGTACGCATTATATGTGCCTGCATGTACATATGGGTGCATGCATGCGGGAGCGTTTTGGCGGGAGCGTTTTGGCATTCGTGTGACGCCTTGCTTACTCACAGACTCTTACATTTCTGCATGATGGATGCAGAAATGTTTCGAATGGCTGGGAAGTCCCAGCTGCCCAAACTGCAACCACGAAGGTGTTTCCATTCAGTTATGACGACAGCAGACGAAAACCCAACCTGCAGCCTGAACCCTGTGCACCCTAAAGCAACCCTAACAAATCTAACCGCCCTGATCCCTAAACAAGAACGAATATGTCGGGGCCCATAGGTTTCCCCGTCAGAAGTGAACTGGACTTCAGAATTAAGTGACTACAACTGCTTTGTTGGCCGGTTGCCTTTGCGTAAATGATGCTAAGGATTCGAGTACTATGTCGCGTTGACATGTATGATACTTTTATACGTATGGTCAGAAACGGTAGCTATCAACACCCAGAGGACATAGCCTTTTAAGTTTAACTATGGAGAGAGCCCAATGCACCCTAAATTACGGGATATACCGGAACACCTGAAAGCATAAGATTACCTCTGAGATTTAAGTCTATTCTTGAAATTTCTTGAATCAGTCCAGCCTATACGTCGGAATTTACAGCCGTATGGGAGCCCTATTGGCTCTATTAATAGGCATTGGCACCATGATGGTAAGTTCCTTTGAATGGTAAGGAACCCAAAACATGCACAACATGGGGCCAGTACAAGAATAGCTCGTGGATTCTGTATATAGCTGGGCCCTGAAACTAAAACCCAAACCGCAGATTCTAAACCCTGAATCACATCAGAGCAGCCCAAAATTCAAATCCGAACAGCCCTTAAAGGCGCCTGTTTCGCAACCTCCACATACCATGACCCTAGGTCTTGTAGCATACTATAATCCTCGAGCCCTATTTACAATCCACCATGACCCCCCCAAACCATCAAACCTAGTCCTAAACAACCCGATACAGCAAGCCAATAACACAACAGAAATCTACAGCTAGGTGAATCAGTTTTCTCCGATGATCTAAGGTCCCGGCCAGGCGATAAAGCTTTGGATCATAGCCCTGGTCCGATAAGGTGTGCAGCTGACCGAGACCCTCCATCTACCCTGTCTGAGGAAGTAAATGCCCTACCAGGAGGGTCTGGTAGGGCTTACCCTAAACCCCTAAACCCTAAACCAAAAACCCTAAACCCCTCAACCCTAAACCCTTAGCTTTTTGAAGGCCTTGACTTCCTGGAGCTCTAAGGCCCTAGGGAGGATTGAAGGACCTAAACCTGCTGTGGGAACTTCTGCTCTGAAGGTTTTAGGCTTACAAAGCCTGGAGCTTGCGGATTTTTTGGGGGGTCGTGGGGCATTTTTGGCTTTCGACGCGTAGAACGCTTAGGGCGTTTGGGAGGCTCAAGCTTAGGGCCGTTTTGGCCATCATTAAAGCTTAAACCATGTTCAAGTGAATCCCTGGAGGCTGCACGATACTTGGAATTACCCAAAGTTCCGCTCACGGGGCTTAGGTTATTCGGATAAGGTTGGCTTCTAGAGTCTGTTTGGGGCTTTCTTCGATGCGCCCGATGCACCAGGAAGAAATGAGATAGTGCACCACATCAGAGGCGAACAACCTTCGCACAGTGGCTTTTTCGAAATTTAGGGGGCCAGTTGATGTGCAGAGCCCGTCGGCGATGAGCTTCTGCCTCAGCTCCTCCTTTCCCGATGGTTGACAGAGCCCCTGTCTTCGTCAGGCGTATCGCATAGCGCTGTGACCTGTAGAGTGATTTCTTCCTTTGTTGCCTTGCTTTGGAATGTCGAGTATCACTCTGCTGCGTGCAGCGAAGCCAGATGTCCTATGGCTCCACATTTCGCAGTAAAATGCATCAAAGCCCACTACATCTGTCTCACGAACAACAGTCCATGCGCTATCTCTCAGAGACTCCATCATCTCTCTGAAGGCCTGAAAGTCTAATCCTCAGACCAGGTATGTGATACTGGATCCAAGGACTTCTTCTTCGGTATGCCACGCACCCTGTCATGCACTTCATCGTCACGCACATCACTGAAATTCCCTCTCTCAGTTAGGACATGCAGGTATTGGAATGCGTAGAAGGCATGTTAACCTATACCTCCTAGGGTTTGACCAAACTTGTGGCATATGTGGCCAATTCCTTGAGATACTCGCCAAAACCTTCCCTTGTGCGGTGCAAGACATTCCTGTGCGTACGCACCAGGTAGTCATAAGCATCCAGAACACCGCTTTAGGGTTTAGGGTTTAGCGAATAGGGTTCAGGATTTAGGATTTAAGGCCTTAACCACCCTGAAGATCCAGAATCACTTAGGATGCTTTGAAGCTCAGAAGCATGCAACCCCTTATAGTCTCCATATTATCAGCTACTCTAACCGGTCTCACAGGTACCGCTCTCCTCATTAATTAGGCCTCCAGGTTAAAGAAACCCTAGTCCCTAAAGATCTCCTGAACCCTTATATGGAGCTCTACATCGTAAAACCCCATAAATTTAAGACTCGCAGGAAAGCCCACAACCCTCTAGACACCCATAAACCCCTAGGAAAGCCCAAAATAAACCCTAAACCCTAAACCCCTAAACCCCTAACCCCTAAACCCTAAACCGGGTTATTAACGCTCTAGACAAGGCCTAGGAACACACAACTAAAGCCCTCAATCGGCCTCGGGGGCCTCCTCGCCACGAGGTCCTCCCGAGAGGTTTGAGGTCTTCGGGTTTCGGGTTTGTATAGGGTTAGATAGGTTTAGATAGGGTATATATTGGGTTTATATAGGGTTTATATAGGGTTTATTTGGGGTTTAGGGTTTAGGGGTTGTTTAAACAGAGCTCGGGCCTTGGCTTGCCTTGGTTCTTCTTTTTTTTGCCGGGGTGGGATTGAGGAGTGTCGGCTTTGTGGGCTTCCTCTCTTCGTTTGTTGGGACCCTCAACCCTCCAACCCAGAACCCTATAAACCCCAAACCCTAAAACCCTTCGACAGAACCGATGGTCTAGGGCGTTGGAGTTAGCGGGCTCTAGGGTTTAAAGGAATCAGGAGACCGGGTGGTGACGAATTCGGGCTCTGAGGTTTTTTGGGTGGCTCGGGGGGGGGGGGGGGGGGGCATGGTATAGTCTAAAGTATAGTATCAGCATCGTATCTGAAATTCTACATTTTAGAGTGTAGTATCACTTCCTAGGCTAGGATAAGTGTCTGCAGTGCGAGGGCTGTAAGCTGTCAAGTTCCATTTTCTGGGGCGATACACGAGACCACAGGCAAGTATGACGGTCTAGGGTTTGGGGTTTAGGTAGTCCTCGCCTTCATAAACTCCGAAAAACGAAGCCTTAACACGGCCCTTAAAACAGAAGCAAACAACGCAAACAGCAACAACACCAGAGTACAAACAGCGATGACCCTGAATTTCAAGACGGCTGCTCGGGTCAGCTAGCGAAGCGGTTGCTCTAAACCCTCAACCCTAAAGGCTTGCAAACTTAGAGTTCGGGATTCAGCTTAGGCTGTGAAGCCTACACGGTTTAGGGAGGCTTCCGGGGGCTTAGAACTATCCCAACCCTCAAGCAAGTCCAACAAACCCCAACCGATTGCAAACTCTAACATGCCGCTATGTTATTGAAGGATTAAGGCTCTCAAGCACTGACTCCACCTTGTCTTTCTGAGGATTTCCGCATGCGCAAAGGTGTAAGATGAAGGTCTGGAAAGTTAGTGGCGTACTGAGTAACGGTATTCCCAGCTACTGCGAAAACACTCATACATGTACTGCAATATACCCCGAAACCTTGCTCCAATCATCAATGCCCCTATGTTGAGATTAGGACCCTAAGCCCTAAACCCCCAATTAACCCCCTTTTCTGAACCCAGACTCGACCGATCAGCAAACCCTACACCCCAAAACTCTAGCCAACGAGCGACAGTTCATCTTCTGAAGGGCGATTCTACCCGGCACACTCAGGATCCAGGAGAACTTGAACCAGGGTTTTGTAGTGCCATTGACATAAGGAGTGTGTAAGGCTTTCGTAACGGGGCCTTCACAATGAGAATAGGTTTTTATCAGGAAGCCTGGGGAGCAGTGTTACGAATCATTCAAACCTCTGCTTAAAGGATCAGGGCATGTAGTAGTCAGCCCATACTTTCTCAGTCCCGTGATCCTGTAACCACATGCGGCCCAACGGCTCTTTTTTTCCGACTGCTGTGCAGACTCGAGGCATCGGTCTCGCCAGGATCGGCTGACTTCATGTTTTGTATGAGAGGTTTGGCGCTAGGGTTCAGGGTTCTGACAGATCAGCTTGCTCTGGGCTTAAGCTTTCGCCTTTCTTGTTATGTTCCTGGATCGTCGATGTGTCGAAAAATCCTAAGCTAAGCAAGCAAGACTGGAAAACAACATAACTTCATGTGGTGCAGTTGCTGACCCACAGCCTTTTCAGCGGCGTCATTTCGATCTTTACAACAGCACATTACGCACCACACATCCTGTAGCGTTCTGCAAAATCAACGGGCCCACATCTCCCACCACAAAAATCCCCCAAAACCTCTTAAAGCATAAACCACTACACCACAAAAAGCTGAGAGCCGCATAAGCTTCGGGTGTCATCTTCTGGGATCCTCGAACACCCTGAGGTGCCTAAACCTTGAACCCTAAAGCCCTGAGCCCTAAACCTGAGCTCTCAAGCTCAAGCCCTGAGCACCCAATTCCCTAGGACCACGGTCTGTAGGAATTTAGGGTTTAGGGTCTGGGGTCCTGACATACCTATATATATATGTATGTATATATATATATATGTTTATATATATATATGTATGTATATATATATATATGCAGGATGCCGCCTCACTAGACAAAGTATATGGCTAGTGTTCCAAAAGCTTAAGCGAACCTGAACCCCAGAACCCCAGACCTCAAACCCAGACTCCATACTACGATAGTATATGATCACCTGCTAGACTGTTCTATTGGCCAAAAGGCTCACGGCTGGTCGCTGTCGGAATCAAGATCTGCAAATGGATCGAGCCTCGAGGATTTTACTGTAGAAGCTCTAAACGGCGGATTTGGGCTCCACGGGGTGGAGGGTTCAGGGTCTAGGAGTTGCGGCTGAGGGTGCACAACTCGGACACTGATCATGATGAGTCGAATCAGCACATGATTGAAGGTCCTATACAGGCGTTTGTTGCAACATTGCCTCCTCTCGGCCCTGACGAACACGTGGGCCTCATACCTACCATGCAAGGACAATGAGTAAGAGAACTAATCCCTTTGTGAACGAGGTCTCTCTGAAGAGAGCCCATCCCAAACCCGAAACCTTCACCCTCATAGAACCCTGATGGTGTCCTTATCGTAACTAGCTAAGGACTACCCTTGACACAAAGGCCGAGATCCGAAAACCAAACTCTACAACGCTAAACCCCGCACCCCGTTCACCCTTAAACCCTAAACAAAAAATGACCCTATAAATCCTAAACCGGAATCTGCTTAAGCCGGGCAACTCCGGAAAGTTGCCGCAGACCTGGTCGCGCGTTCGGCGAGCTTCTGGGTTTCTCAAGGCTCAGGGGAGCTGCAGTGGCCGGGAACGTGGCATAGAAGCGGTTGCCTTTTTCATGCATGTATATGAAATGTTTATATCCGTGATAAGGTTTAGGTTCAGGGTGTGCAGTCAGAGATTTGTGAAGCCATACAGGCATGCATGTAAAGTTTAGCTCAGCGTAGGCATCCACTCCACTTCTGGAAAGCCACCACGTCTTTGGGCGTCTTCCACACCACCGGCGCAGTGGGTCGAGAGGGAACGAAGTATTCCACACCTGGGCAAAAGGAGCTGGGTTAAAATTCATTACACAGCTTTATGTACGATGTGTCAGAAACTTACGGGTGCCGTATTTCAGGGTGTCGATGAAAAAGGATCTGTAGGGAATACTGAGGTTTGCGAATACGTGAACCGTTGTAAGTCGCTCTATACGCGGCTACTGGCGTTTAGCGCCACAAGGGTTCGTGGACACCAACCACCTCCCATCATCCAAATCCCTAAACTTAAATCCTACACATCTCAGACCCGTATAATGCATGTACGGACAATGCAGCTACACTTGGGACCTCCCGTAGCTGTGCCATGTGAGACATGGCCGCAGCTCTTTTCGCCGAAGTCAAGACATCTACACGAACTGCAAAAAAAACTCCATCCATGAAATCCTTTGTTATAGACATTCTCTTACATACGTCCCAAAAAGGGTGGGGTTGTGCGGCTTGAGCTAGTAATATAGCCTTCATAGCTAGCTCTGAAATGCCAATTCCTTTATAAAGGGGCCTCTGTGATTCGCCTTTACTTTCGGTTCCCTAACATACTGCGGTACTAATATGAATCGAGTTATTTGAAGGACTATCCATTATAGTCCTTCTACTAGGTATAGCCTAGCACTAACAAAAAACTATTCCCCAATGCTCGTCACTGCAACTATACTGTAGCACACAAAACAAATCCTGTTCTAATAATCACTGGCCCCTCACTTCGGTTCTGATAGCCTTCAGCACCTAAGCCTAAGCATCGACAGCTCTGTATATCGTGGCTTTAAGAACTGGAACTGGGTGCAGTAGATTTATAACAGTAGTTCTCTTACCAGAGACTTCCATGGGCTAAAAAATATCATGCTGACCCGCACCGTCTAACGCCCGAAGGTTGCAAGCTCTGTCGGCCCTTGCAGACGAAGCTACCATCCAGCCAACAGCCACCCTCTTGGACATCCTCGCCCTGAGGCCTGTTTACAGGGGCTCGGTGTTGACGAGCTCTTTGGGGTTCAGAGCGACAGGCAAGTCAGCATCTAGGTTTTGTACTCGTGGAGTGCTGAACCTTGAAAAACGACTCGCACGGGCACCACCTATGGTCCTTCGTGCTAATTCAGAGCCCGCTTTGAGGCACATTGACATGCCGGCACGGGACCCACCGCTGGATACATACACAGATAGATGTTTCAAACTATACATTTGTCTATTAGTTTGACCTAGTACTCACAATTCCTTTGCCTATATAAAACATATACTTATACACAGACACATGCAGGAGGGCATAGCACCTTTACGTGCCCAGCACATTGGGTTCCCAGCCTCTTCATGCAGCCGAGTCTACTGTATGGGTACGACAGGAGTTTCTTCTATGAATACAGGGTTTAGGGTTTAGGGTTTGTGTCAGATAGGGTTTATAGGGTTTTCTGTTAGACAGGGGTGTCAAGAATGGCTTGGCCTGGCTCGGACTTGATCCTTGGGGTTCCCTGCTCTTAACGCAGTCCGGCCTCACACACAAATATACGCATCTGGCGACAAAAGCCTACTGGAGACACTCGAGGCCTCCATCTAAATGACCATGAAACTTGTCCCCAGTCCATGAGGACCTAAAGCTAAACCTTGAATTTTCAATCCTCAAGAATCGAGCAGCCAGGAAAAGGAGACCTTACTTACCCGAAAGGTCCATGTTCCTCGATAGTATCTTCTCAGTCCTTGTCTTCCAAGAAAGCTCTAGAGCCAATATATACCTACAGAAACAAGACAACCGCATCCGAAGCCCTGAAGCCTTAAACTAAATAAACCCCACAAGAGGCTTTGCAGGAACAATCCCTAACCCTATAAGCCCTAAACGGTACCCGGTGAAATCCAGGGTCCCTGGCGAGTCCAACTCCACCGCCACCAGTGGCCTCGGGACTCCTGATGGATACCCATAGGCCCCCAAGTAGTTCCTTTTTGGGATTACCTTATAGGATTCTAAATATGAGCCACAAAAAGGAACTACTTAGGGGCCTACACACATTCCGAGCCTAGGCAACAAGGGCTCTAAGGCTTAAGTTTGAGGTTCAGGGTCGAGGGTATATGGACTATTGTATGCTATTTTCAGCTAAGTATCACGGTACCGTTTCTCTGAATCTCAAGAGTTTCTCAGGAGACTGCAGATAAAACATGGCATAAGGATACTACTGGAGACCTAGTGAGGGCTTTGGCTTGGGACTTCCACCACTTTCGACTGTTCGGGTTTTGGGACTAGACTTGGGGGGGGGGGACTCCACGCACCCCCTGCAACGTGGGTAATAATTCAAGACTACAGATGCCAACACAGAGTTGGACTTTGGAGGCGGATATAGGTCCGTACCCAGACCCGTACATGTACTTCGCTTTTGGATGCAACATCCCGATGTTGAAAGAATCTAGGGTTTAGGTACTTCTAGAATCCTACGAACTCCAGGGCATCCGGACTACGGAACTTGTTGGACGAAGCTCTGCTGCACAAAGCGTGCTTGGATCTTCGAAAAACATTAAGTTAGTTGTTCCCAGGATCCGCTCCTCCTGTGTGCAAACGTGAACCAAGGTTACGATCCAATCAGGGTCTTGGGTATACCTAAAGCCCGCAAACGCTGCGAACAAGCAGGCTGTAAACCCCTAGATCTATGCAGGGTAGGTCCTCCATCTTGCAATCGTATGAACAAGGAAACCCTATAAACCCTAAACTCGAAACCCCCAAAAAACCTTAACCCCAAACCCCTAAACACGAAACCCTAAATCCAAAGCCCGGTCAATGTCGTCCCAGGCGCCTCCAGGGCAGCCCACGAATCGAACGACACCGCGACGGCCTTCCGGCGCGACCTTCGGGTTCCAAACAAGGCTGGTATCAAGGGTTTATAGAGTTCAGGGAATAAAATTGCATTATCACAAGGAATAGTGTTAGTGTTTTGCAAAGGTTGAATATACGCTTACAACGAGCAAGGCTTTGCATCGGGCAGCTGGGACCACACTAGTGTCAGGAGTGCGCACGAAAGGTTGGAAGCGCCGGCAGTGGTCCATCATTTCGGCTGACGATTGCGATGATGATGGTCATTCCGGTCTTCTGAGTCTTCTGGTAGTTGTACTCTGTAGGCTTGTTGACGAAATAATGCTTCAGGAGTAGAGGAGTGGGACATGAGTAGGAACAGCTGGGGAAGCAAGCAGGAGGAGCAACAGCAGCGGCGGGGACAACAGCAAGAGTAGCAGCAGTAGCATACTGATAGATGTCTGATGGAACCAGCAGCAGCAGACGCCGCTGCTGCTGCTGCTGCTGCTGCTGCTGCTGCTGCTACACCTACAACTACAACGACGACGACGACGACTACTACTACTACTGCTGCTACTACTGCTGCTACTGCTGCTACTGCTACTGCTGCTGCTGCTGCTGCTCCTGCTACTGCGACTGCGACTGCGACTGCTGCTGCTGCTGCTGCTGCTGCTGCTGCTGCTGCTACTGCTACTGCTACTCCTAGTACCACCACGACGACGCCGCCGACGAAGACTACTAGTACAACTAGTCAAAACTGCTATGACGACGAGTAGTGGTGGTGGCAATGGTAGCAGTTGTGGGTGATATCGGGAAATGTGATAGCAGTAGCAGCAGCAGTAGTCGTAGCCGTAAACGTGATGGTAGCAGTAGTAGCATCGTACTAGGAGCAGCATCAGTAGCAGCAGCAGTGCTGGTGGTTCTTCTTTCAGGAGTGCCCCTGGCTTCGGGACCACGCCGATCCCAAACCCAGGCCTCGCACCGGGCAGAAATCGGATGGCTGTCGAGCTGCACAGAGAACGCGGGAGGTTCCTGCGAAAGTTCGGAGGTCATTGGTAGGGATGTCAAATCCGTATGCTGAGAAATGATTTGCGACATCCGACAAGTGCCAAGGGAGCCCTTCCATACCGTAACTAACACCACTGTCCTGAGGGTGTGTTACGAGTACTGGAACTCATAATTCCTCTCTGAACCATAATCCCTGAAGCTCATGTAACATTCTGAAATACAGAGGTCACCTTCATTCTGAAATACAGAGGTCACCTTTCGAGGATTGCCGTAACAAAACACATGTGGTTACGCAAAACCTTGTTGAAAAACCTTGGTAACAACCGAATGAAACCACTGCACTCCCTGAACCACCATTCAGGCCTCGCCGGAGCTGCGCAGGGTGAGCCCATGCGGCTGCTCCTGGCAAGCTGTCTCTTCGCGCAGATTGAGGGGTTCAGCGTTCTAGATGTTTACCACTGGAAGGGTTTTGGAAAGGTTTGGGGGTTGCGTGGGCTTCGGGTGCAGGGTCCATAATCAAAAAACATGGGGATTCGAAAGCCCTGAACCCTAAAACCCTAAACCCTAAAACTCTAAAACCCTAAAACCCTAAACCCCGGTGATGCGCAAGGGTTCAAGTTGAAGCCAAGGCCACTCCCACGTCCTGAAGAGCCTCTCGCCTCTCCTGAGGTTCGGAGTCAGCTGGAGGGACGAAGAGGGGTTTAGGGGCTTAGGGGTTTAGGGTTTAGGGGGTTTAGGAATTAGTAACAGGGTTATAGGAATAGGCTGTATAGGGTTTAGGAACAGGGTATAGGGTTTAGGAACAGGGTTTAGGGTTTAGGAACAGGGTTTAGGGTTTAGGAACAGGGTTTAGGGTTTAGGGTTTAGTAATAGGGTTTAAGGCTTTCGGGTTTTTCGGGTTGAGGTTCTTAGGGCGAGGACTAGGGCATGGGGCAAAAAAACCTACACTTGTAGATCATAAATCTTGAAGAGGGGTATAGGGTTTGTGTGGGGCGGGGCTTAGGGTTTGCATGGCAATGACATCTTCGACTTCTGAACTCGAGCCTAAAGCAACCAAGTAAAATTGAAATATGCTCTGTCGGCTCTCTACGGATGAGGGCTTCGGATTTACTAAACTTTAACTGAGGGCTGTATGAAATCGAGGGCCTCGCGCTCCGGGGCCGGGGCTCTTTTGAGGTCCGGTCCTAAAAAGCCCAGAGCCAAGAACCAGAACCCTAAACCCTAAACCCCCTAAGCCCTATTACGAAACCCTAGTTCCTAAACGCCATTACTAAACCCTAGACTCTTAACCCTACTACAAAACCCTAAACCCCCCTAAACCCCCTACTCTCTGAACTTGAAGACCTAGGAGCCGGGAACCTCCCTAGTACTCTAAGAACGGCCCTTGGGGTTGAACCCATGTGGAACCCTATGCTTCCAAGGACCTTATGGCAAGGAAGGAGAACCCAGAACACCTGGGAACAGAAACCCTCGACACTACCCCTAAATGCACAGAAAACCTTAAGAGTGTTAAACCATAAACCCTAAATGCATAGAAAACCCTATAAGACTATCCTTCTAGACAACCTCGCAACCCGAAAATTAGGACATGGCCAGCGGCGATCAGCTCCCGCGTCGCCGCCGAGACGCGCACTGTCTCTGGAAGGTCCATGGCTCCGTCGGTTCTGTGAGATTAGGGTTTAGGGTTTGGGTTTCGAGTTCAGGGTTCAGAGTTTAGATTTGCTGCTTTAGGCATTAGGGCCTTCTTTCTCAGTCTGTCTTTCTCTGCTCAAAGGGTTTAGGGTGTTGTCTTTAAGGGATGTATCATGGTTTGATGAGCTTTACATGTGCTTGTAACATTGCCGTAGCTTTAGGCTGGCTGCAGGTTTTTGGTGTTTTTGTTCAGTCTGTAACCGTCTTCCATTCGGAGCATATGTATGGGCTTTCGAGGTTCTGGCAGTCGAGGTTCCGGTTTAGGGATTCGGTTTAGGGCCTTAGCCTCATATTGGGTTTTGGGTGTACGGCGTGTGGCAACAGCTGATGCTCGAGCAAAACTGCACGCCAAGCTCCGCCAAAACCCCTGCATCCTTGGCGGTTTAGGGTGTAGGGTTTAGTAATTCTAGAGCCTGCGTCGCCCAGATTTGTTTCCAGATGCCACAACATATAGGGCCCCGATTCACAAACCAACAAATCCGGATGAGTTTAGTTTTGTGTCACATGCCGCGTCGCTAGGTCTGTCAAAGTTTGGGGAAGGCCCCATAAGTCTCAGTGTCGGGGTGCTCCCTGCACAAAGCAGCCTGGCAGCCTGAACTAACTTAGACCTTTCGAATCGTTGGCACTTGGATGTCGTCCTGTAGTAGGAGTTTGGGGGATACTTGGGGATGTAGACCCTCTCAATAAGGTCCCTTTTAAGAGAGCCATAATAGTAGGCTTAAGGCTTAAGAAGGGTCCCCCTTGTTTGGGGTCTCCCTAATACTACCTAGGATCTGTAGAGCCCTGAGCCAAGACCTGATGTACCAGATCATCACCCCCGAACCAGATAGCTTGGTTGAGCTGAAAACACATGGCAGCGGGTCAATGAGGGATCGGTCCCTTGTGAAATACCCTGCCCCAATTTAGTAGACACGCCCCCCCCCCCCAATGATTAAAAAAAAACTTTGGGACCAATCCTCTCCCGAAGTCATCCCTGCCCTTTAAGGCCTAATTTGCATTAGGGGTCCGGAGCAAGAGCAGGAGTCAGAGAAAAAGCAAGAGCAAGAGTCAGAGCAAAAACAAGAGCAAGAGTAAGAGCAAAAGCAAGAGGAAGAGCAGAAGCAAAAGCAAGAGCCAAAAGCAAGCGCAGGAGCGAGAGCAAGAGATAGAGCCGGAGCAAGAGCAAGATCCCTCAAGAGTGACAGGAGGCACAAGAATACTTATAATGATAATGAAACCATGTATTGGGGGGCAGGCCCCCCGTAGAATATCAAGTAGGGGGAAGGGATTAGCTACGGCAGGCATCGGCTGCGGTGTTCTGCGTCCCCACATAATGGGAGCATCCCAAACGTTGAGACTAATGTATGCAGAAACGAATCTCCATAGCACTGTAGACCTTGAGTCGTGAACCTGCCATCCCTGAGACCCAACCCCAAAAGGTAAGAGCACCCTAAACCCTAAACCCAAAAGGTTAAAGCACATGCAAAGAGATGAGCATACTTTTGGACGACCTCAGACTGCCAGCACCGAACCAGACCTAAAAGATTAGCCGTCGAACCTCCTATTACCCTCAGCTGAAGTTGCACGTACGCTACAGGTTATCATGGGTTTAGGCGGTTTAGGGTTCCCGGTTTAGGGTTTAGGGTCGAAATTGCAATCGTCTCTGAAAGCCTGAAGCCTGAATCCCAGCATGGTTCGCCGCCGCTCCTCCCCTCTTATCCGTATCCGCTGGGCGACCTGAGAATAGACAGACTGAAAGCTGGTGCTGGCTGGTAAGTAGGTCCTTACAGGTTCCATGATGAGTTTGTGGTTCTGGAAGACAGTGCCACTATGCCACCATACCACTACACCACTGTACCACTGCACCACTACTGCCGCTGCCCCGACCACTACTTGGAACTTTGCTGTTGCTGCTGCTCTTCTTCATGTTAGCATTGCAGGTCTTGCCTTTTCCCATGTCACTTCTGCTGACAGTTCAGAAATGCTGACATCGCTGTTGCTACACAGTTCCTGATTTACATGAATACCTTTCGACCCCGGCAGTAACACGCACGAGAGGCCAACATCCCCTGAGCCAGCTGCCTCCCAAAGCATCCTCGAGCCAGGTGATGGTGTCTTTCCGCATCGGCGGCTGAGCATGTGTGCTTTTGGTCACCGCTTCTCTTTTCTCAGGTTTTTGTTCAGGGTGTTCAGACTTTATCGTTCCAAAAACGTGGCTTTGAGAGAAAAGTGCAGGGAAGGTGATTCACGTTATGGTTCTCCGCGCCGCGATCAAACCGTTAGAGCCGAGGGATCGGAGGTGGGCATCTACAACTCTAGGTGGAACCCTGGCCCACCCAGCAGACCACCATGCATATTGGCTGTAACTTTTTAGAGCTAAGCAGTACCCATGGGCCCCTAAGTAGTTCCTTTTTGTGGTTCATAGTTAGAATCCTATAAGGTAATCCCCCAAAAGGAACTACTTAGGGGCCTATGGGTAGTGCTTACTTTCGGTCTGGGTCCAGCTAGACGGGACTCGCATCATGATATCGGCCTCGCTCCTTGCTCTCCGGATTTCGGCCACCTTCGGCGCGACCTCAACCAGGCGAGCAGAGCAAGGAGAGAAGGACAGTATCCCCGCAGGTACCTACTATATAGGGTACTAGAAGGTCCAGGGCCTGATATAGTAGATACCTGGGGGGTTAGGGGGAGTTAAGAAAATAGACACCCTATCATGCTTGGTCTGGATTGGCATCCCTGTCTGAGAAAGTTTTTCAGCTCTCATGGACCCCTTCGTATCATAGCTGCCCAAGAAGACGTCAAGGAGCGTTTCCGGGCTTTGTGCAGGATTTCTAATGTTAGGGTCTCGGACAGTTTCGCATGTATTATTAAGTCTGTTCGTGCTGCTGGTGATTATGCTGGAAGCGACAGACACGCTTACTGGCTGCTAAGACTGGTCGAGTCTATTATACCATCAGTGGAAGTGTCGAGCTTCGTAGTTGTTGGACCAGTGTTGCTTGTTGATCTGCCCAGGATTACATCGAGGTATGACGGGCTCAGTTCTGGCTAAAGCGGCTAAAATCAAACATGCGCTGCATGCCACCCAGCCGGAAGAACACAAGACCAGTTCGGAGCTACTGGTGCCAGCTGGGATGCGGCGACCGGCTTCGCTTCTGCGTACCCAGAAGTAAAATTTCACCTTTTCAAAAGAACATAAGAACAAAGAAACAGAAAACCGTTTAAATTAGATTGGCTGTTGAAACTGTAAGTAGCTGGAGCGTGAGGCTGCGAAGTCCAGCAGAAGAGAGTGGGACTAAACCGAGAGAATGTATCGAAGAACAGATTGCATTTTGCTAGGCGTGCATTTTGCTAGGCGTGAATTCTGAAGACGGCGGGAAAGCTAATGATATAACAGCCCATAAAGCAGTACCGAGACAGCACTCAGAAATGTGGCCGGGATCCTGTCCGGCTCCTAAACCTGGGTTTATGCCTCCATAGAACAGCAGCCAAGGTCGCCGACTATGCTGCGGACTCGCGCTAATTCAGACTACAAGCAGAAGCCATCTCAGCCTTTAGGCAGGAGTGACCATGGCCCCAATCGCTAACCTCTGTAAACCGTTAAATCGAAACAGCCTGTGAAGGCACACCGGGATACCGCTGAATAAGCATTGCAGGATGCCCACAGGACACCTACAGAGTGTCACGAAGAAGGCTGACACAATGGACTTGGGCCTCAAAGGACCTTTGCTAAGATTGTCTAAGACTGTTTGAGGGACCTAGAAATCTGTATGTATATGTATATTTATATATATGTATATAACTTGCACAGTTTGCATCTACAAGAAAACTCTGCATGTATGTATGTATGTATGTCTGTATGTATGTATGTATGTCTGTATGTATGTCTGTATGTATGTATGTATGTATGCATGTATGTATGCATGTATGTATGCATGGATGTATGTATGTATGTAAATGTATGTATGTAAATGTATGTATGTAAATGTATGTAAATGTATGTAAATGTATGTAAATGTATGTATGTATGTATGCAGATCTGAGGCCCGTCTTGGCCAGGGTACTTATCGCAAAACGTGTTCACCCTAAATGCTATAAACCCTCAGCCTATAGCTCCTAAACTAAACCCTCTGGGCAGGCTGCCTCGATCCGGCGAATTCGCTCTTGCTCGATCTCTCGATTTCTCTTGCCTGCCGAAGGCTCCAGCCCCGGGCTTCACCAAGGGCCCTTGATGGCTCGACGAGGGTCTGGGAACTTTAAGAGGGATACTACTTGCACCACTAATAATTTTCAGACCCTAAACCGTATATTTCAGATTGAAGAACATGCTTCGGCGTGAAGGGCTTGGGTCTTGGGGTATGCGGCTTCAGCTTCGCGTGGCAAGCTTTAGCTTATACTTCTGCTTGCTTGAAGGATGCACTCATACGTTCCATATGGCTACAATGTAGTTCCTTTTCGGAATTACCATATAGGATCCTAAACATAGAGCACAAACAGGAACTACAATGGAGCCTATAGGTAGGCTTTAAGGCTTCGCATGTCTTTTTGCTAAGAATGTGCCCAGGGATAGAAGCTTCTGGCTCGAAGACAAACAACAGCATAACATGACTGGGTTCTTCGTGCCGTTCTTGTTAAAGGATCTAAACTTAAGTTACCATAAGAAGGGTCTATAGTAAACAGTATATGGTAGCTTGATTATGGTAACTTAACTGAAACCCTTAGCAAGAACCCCGAATACAGTGCGAGTTGCGCAAAACTTCAATCCAGAAAGCTTCCAAAGCAGGGCCACGCACCCCAGAAGTACACCGATTCCTCCGTGGCTCCCGGCTTCAGCGCGTGCTCTCATAAAGCGTTACATCCGGGCCCCCATCCAACTCGACATGTTCCTCTAAACCTACCTGAAACCAAAACCGAATCTAAACCCAAAACCCTAAACCGAATCTAAACCCAAAGGCCGACTCTTGGAGGGCAAGTCCAGAGAAT